GAGTTGCCACCATATTTGTACATATGTTATCATGTCTATGTTGCACAGAATACCTTGATATATACCCCCTCATAGAGGAGAGGTTGTTGTTGGACAAACTTGCTTATCAAGAGACCATGCTTCCAAACCAACAAATGTGTGTATTTCCCTTTTCTCAAAAAAAATCCTGAATTTTCGCATATGTTTTTCTGTTCTAGTAGATTACACAAGAAAAGTCAACTACAAAAACTTCCTCTATCGGGACAAGAAATAAACTTGGTGAGTTGGTTGTTGGGCTAGTTTATGTACCAAACGATCAGGGTTCAAATCCCCTATAACACATGATTTTTATCACCCAAGAAAGTCCTTACAGGAGAAAAAAGGGGTGTGTGGCGAGAAAACAGAACGAAAACCCAGGAAAACCTGGGCTGTCGCAGGATCGTTCGATGCGCATCCGACGGCAATCGAAGCGTGCGTGCCTGTCGCTAACGAACAGTCGACAGGAATTTAGCTTTGTCGTAATGTATAATGTGTGGTGTGTGCAATACAGGCTGGAATATGATGACTCTGCTAGAGTTGCTCTAAAGCAGCTCACACTGCGAGTCCTGCAAATATATTCAGCGGATCCACCAGAACCCCAAGCGAACCGCATAACATCGCAAAACTGCGGAGCAACGGTGACAAAGATTAAAATCAGGAGAAGGCATCACTCACTCCCGCGGTCTATGAGAAGGAAGCTGGGGAGCGCTCCAGGCTTGGTGCGGAAGAGGTGCTCCTTCCTGCCGCTGTTGAAGGCCTCGCAGGCGTCTGAGTTGCCCTTGGGATAGACGACGGCACCAGCCATGCTCCCGCCGTACTGCGGGATGCCGAAGTTGCCTATGGCGCTATCGTGCCGTCCCCGCAGAGCCGTCGGCGACGTGACCATCAGGCTGTTCTTCTCCACCACAAACCGCGCCTCCAGCTCCACCGCCGCCGCGAACGCCAGCAGCAGCAGCAGCCACCTAAACCCTAGCCCCCACATCGCGCTCGTGTTCAACTGCTCTGGTGGCGGCGGGGAGCGAGGGGACGAGCCTTCAGATCGGAAGCGGAACTGGACTGCCGAGATTATTGGGGCGATTTGCCGGTTTCTCTGTCTCTCTCGCGTCCACGGCGGGTGTTGAAGTGCGACTGAGATTAGTGTGTGACGCTGTCAACTGACTTCGTTGAAGAAGTTCGTGGACCAGGTGCATCGAGCAGCTGTATATCGGGCACGCACAACAAGCAACTTTCTATAGATTCCACTGCAAACTAAGTACGGATGTATATAGACATATTTAAAAGTATAAATTCATTTATTTTGCTTTGTATGTAGTTCACAGTGAAATCTCTAAAAAGATTTATATTTAGGAACGTATGGAGTATAAGTCTGGTCATAGTCGGGAGTAACATAAACTGGTAATATTGTTACTACCTTCATAATGGGTAGTAACATATTGATGTACTCCTTGCGTTCCTAAATATAAGTCTTTGGAGAGATTCTACTATGGACTACATAAGGAGCCAAATGAGTGAATCTATACTCTAAAATGCATCTAGATACATCTGTATGTGGTCTATAGTGAAATCTCTACAAAGACTTATATTTAGGAACGAAGGGAGTATCATGCAAGCCTTCATTAATTGAGATAGAGACTCATTTTATCTCGGGGTGTGTTATGTTACAATAGCATATTATGTTATCTGTCGTGGTAATATCACGTCAGATGTTGGAGGGCAGAAGTACGTCGTCGGGTCCTGAAAGTGGGAGTGAGCACAAGCTCGGACGGACATGAGATGTACCCAGGTTCAGGGCTCTCAGAAGAGATGAAACCCCTACTCCTACTCTGCGGGGTCTCCGCATGATCATTATATCACAAAGAGTATAATGGTGCTCCTAGAGCTGTTTGGCTAGAGGAGGAAGAAGGGCAAAGGCTAGCTCTTGCTTCTCCCTAGCTGTGGGTGTGGTGGAATGAGGTGGGAACCCTTTGCATGGGTGAGGCCTGGGGTTTTATAGGCCAACCCCCCAGGGATACAATGGTAATGTGGTCGGGCGATAGGTCCCGGCTGTCAGTCTCTATGGTGGCCGGGCTCTCCGCCGGCTGCTGGGGCCCGCCTCTGGTGGGCCCTGCTGGCTGCCAAGGAATCGGTCGACAGGTGGGGCCCGCCGCCCATCAACGGCTCTTCACTGTGGCGTCGTCCGTGCTGACGAAGGCCGTGTCGGGCGCGCCATGGCTACAGTGCCGCGCCGGGCGGGTCGGCGGCCGCCTGGCGGCGTTTACTGTAGCCACGTCTGCTGGGATTTGGGGGAGGCATGGTGCACTGTAGCACATGCCCCAGCTGGTCGCTTGATCGGGCTCAGACTCCTAGGGAGGGGCGGGCCGCCTGCGAGAGGTCGGCCCGTACCCTCGCCGCCTTCTGGAGCACGTCGCCTTCTGGAGGCCGGCTATGCGCCACCAGTCGGCTCTGGAAGCCGGCCGTGAGATCTGTCGGTCTGAGGGGCTTGGCTTGCCCCGATGTCTTGAAATGTTGATTAGTGTGGATGAGGCTACCCGGGGTTTGTCCCCCCGATAATAGTCCCTGAAGCTGGTGAGGTTCTATGGCTAACCGCCGAAGGGCCTCAGCGGTTTCCCCTTTAAGGGATCTTCCGCCTTCTGCTCCGTCCGGCTGGGAGGAGCCGGGTGCCAGGAGCCGGCCACGGCTGCGGCCGCCTGATGGAATTCGAATCGACAAGGCGGGAGCCAGAGAGGCGTCGCCCGTCACGCGCACGCCACGTGGCGTCAGCAGGCCAGGCCGGCCTACCAGCCCACATGCGCGACGGGACGTCGCTGCAGGCGGGGGCCCGCCACTACAGGGCCTCGGCTCGCGCGCGGATCCTCTGTGGCCGAGGGAGGCGGTTGCCCTTCCGTGGCGCAATTAAGGTGCCTTTTATCACGCGGAATACGCGGGGCGTGCGGAGCATGGGGCCTCCACGCCCCCACGTCGCCTCGGCTTCGTCGAGCCAGCTATAAAGAGGGGGAGGAGGAGGAGCGGCAAAATGCATGCGCGCTCCCTCCTATTCTCTCTTCTTCCTCTCGCCGCCGTCGTTGCTGCGCTGCTCCATTGCCGTCGCTGCTCTGCTGCGACCGCTGCTTCCCTCATGTAGCCGCTTCGGCGCAGCCACCGCTCCACCTCAGTCGCCTCACGCTTCCGCCGCGTCGTTCGTTGCCAGCGTCTTCGAGCTTCTCCGAGCCGTCCTCAAGCCATGGCGAAGAGCGGCTGGTTGGGCGCCAATGTGCACGACGACCACATCGACTTCCTCCGCGCGATAAGGAGGCTTCCCCAAGCCGACAACATGGGCGTGCATCTCCCTCCCGAGTGGGAGATCTCGCCGCG